AAAAAAAAAAAAAGAACCACTGCTTTAGTCTTTAGCTGCTACCCCTTTCTCCATCTGCCTTGTCCAACCCAATACACTTATTAATTCCCAAACTAATAGCCCCAGAGCATAGGTCTTGTTTCTGCTTTGAAAACTTAAGTCACTCCCTTTACACTTCAAGTAAATGCATATTTCCTCGGTTTGGCCTTCCAGTGATGTTTTTTTCCCCAATCTCTACATGTGGTGGTAGAGCCAAACTTGACCTGATATTTCTCCCAAATAGATTTTGCTTTGTTCATGCAGATCTCTGCCTAAATTTTTCTTTCTCTTCACCTGTTGAAATTCTCTTTATCCATGATTAACACAACCCAGATTCTGCTTCTTTATAAACTTTTTCCTGGTTTTTTTTCCTCCCCTCCTGTTTTTTTTGTCCTCCCCATACTCCACCAAAAGAAAAACAAAAGATAGTATATACATGGATTAACTGTGTTCCCATTTCCTTTTAACACTTTATACTTTTTAGGGTATTTGCCATATTTTGCCATTATTTTTGTCTTTCTATTAGTCTTTATCTTTCACTAAACTACTTATACTTTGAAGGCACAGACTAGGCATTCTTTCCTTTCTTGTGTGTATTTTATTTAAAATCTTGAACCGTAACACAGATAAGTGCACAACACAAAAATATTCAGCTCAGTGATTTACCAGTAGTCAAGAAATGCACCATTAACAGCACCTCAAAAGAGGCATTGGATTTGGTTTACTAATACTTGATTGAGGTTTTTTGCTTCTATAATTCATGAGGGATATTGGTCTGTGGTTTTCATTTCTTTTGTTATCTTATTCTGGCTTTAGAATCCATGTAATAATGGCCTCATAAAATGAGTTGAGAAGTATTCCTTCCTCTGTTTTCTGGAACTGTTTATAAATGATTGGTATTTCTTACTTAAATCTTTGCTAGAATTAACAAGTGAAGTTAACTGGATGTAGGCTTTTCTTTGTGGGAAGATCTTTAATTATTAATTGAGTTTTCTATTTCTCTACATGTTACAGGCCTACTGAGATTTTTATTTAAATCTTGAGTAGGTTTCAATAATTTATGTCTCTAGGACTTTATCTAAATCTAGTTTGTTGGCACAAAGTTCTTCACAGTATTTTAATCCTTTTAATTTCTGTAAGGTTGCTGGTGAGGTCTCCATTTTCATTCTCAATTTTGGTAGTCTTTGTTTTCTTTTTTTCCTTGATCATACTAATTTTGTCAATCTATTCAAAGAATCAACTTTGGGATTCATTGATCTTTTCCTGTGTTTTTTTCCATTGGTTTTAATCTTGGTCTTCATTTTTTCACTTTTTCTGCTTGCTTTAGCTTTAATTCACT